TCGATACAGTAATTCTTGGTTCATGACAAAGTCACTGATGGTGCTGGTGGCTTCACAGTCAGAATAAGATCTTCCTGGAGCAGGAATCGAATCACACCAGACCACATGGGATCTGTTCGTTGAGCATTCTTTACATCCTCAGCACTAAATGGAGGGTCTGCAGTTACGATACTAACATGTCGCGATAAGGGATCTGCGACTACATTTGACTTGCCAGGTAAGTGTTCAAAGGTCGGATTGAACTCTTGGATAGTCAAGGTCCATCTGGCTAACCGTCCAGTAGGTTGTTTGTTCTAGAATAAAGGTATCAGTGGAGCGTGGTCTGTCAAGACATGAACAGAGTACTGATAAATAATGTCTCGGAAGTGCTTTAAAGACCATACGATTGCTAAAGCTTCTTGCTCAGTTACTGTATAATTACGTTCAGCCTTCGTAAGGACTCGGCTAGCAAATGCAACTGCGTTGTACTTGCCATCAGTCTTCTGAGCTAGTGGCCGTATCCCACCGAGGCGGGGTGGCCCAAAAGGAAAAACGAAAGTTTCTCCTTTCAAATTTAGTAATATATACAGGAGAAGGGGTTACTAGCCCCTTGCTCCCGGCATTTTAGTCGCCTCTTACAACACGCATAGCTTACGGAGGAAGAATTCTGTTCCACTTCCCCATGGAGATAAGAGGAAATAAACAAGAACAAGAACTAGAAAGAAAATAGAAGAAAACCCAGAGGGGTATGTATATATACGCTTGTACATGTATGTGTAGTGTGACCTAAGTGTAAGTAGAAGTAGCAAGACGTACCTGAAATCTTGCATGTTCATGAGACAGAAAAAAGGACACCAGCAATCCTACCATCATGTAAAACAATTACAGGTTTTCGTTTTATACTCACTTGGCAAGACGGTAGTACCTCCCTGGGTGGTTGATCACCACAGTTATTTCAACATATTAATGGATGGGGTTGTAAAAGAAGTGAACACTAGTTTGTTGGGGAGAAGTGTGGGACCAAAATATACAGAATCTAAATACAAAGTGAGAATTGTCACAGATACTTTTTTCTGAAATCACTGTGCTTTCTGGAGATTCTAAAAAAAGTTGCAAAAGTTTGTGGATGAATTTGGGAGGGTATGTAAAAGAAGGAAATTGAAAGTGAACAAATGAAAGAGCAAGGGCATCTGGACTGTAGTATTGGCATTCCTCTGGCAAGACAGTGATAGAATGAGTAATAGTGAAAGCATTTCTTCTTTTTTTGTTTCACCCTGCCTCGGTGGGAAATGGTCAGTTTAAAAAAAATTATACACCTAATAGCTGAAAATTCCATGGGGTGACTGTCATGCTTAACAAGTTTTGCCTCCTTCCTTCTTTAGTGAGCTTTAAAAGCATCTTAGGAAGAGGGGGAGGAAAGGGGAAAGAGTGAAGAAGATGGTGGCAAATGTCAAAACTACCTATAAAATTGTTTGTTTATGATGCCGAAATATTCCAGAATACGTACTTTGATTGCAAGGTGATAAAAGTATGTTTATTCTTTTCAAAAATTGCCTTCTGAATTGCTGTGCTCTTGTAAATACTGCATATGACCATTAATATCCTATGGAAATCAATATTTTACTTGCATTGAAAAGTGAGGCTATTGTAATGTTTGTACTATTTAATACTTTCATTCACAGTATGCATTTGGCTCTGCGGGGAATATAGCCATTGGTGTTCCTCCTGGTGTTTCCTTAGAATATGAGGTCGAATTGAGAAACTTTGAAAAGGCTAAGGAGTCTTGGGAGATGGATCAGGAAGAGAAAATTGAACAGGCCAAGGCATGCAAAGATCGAGGAACCACTTTCTTCAAAGAAGAGAAATATCGACTAGCAGTAAAACAATACAAAAAAATAATTGACCTTTTGCAGTATGATAATGGTGAGTGTGATGACAGTGTATTGACCATTATTCACTATCAAATAAAAGGATGTATAAACCATAGAAAAAAATCAGTGATAACAGTATGAAAAATTCTAGGCAGTGAAAAATTGTATATCATGTTGGAGGGAAGGTATTAGAGAATGTGAATGCCTTTTAGATATTTAAGAGTAGAAATGTTGGTAGATGAGTATATAAGATGATGTGAATCATAGAATAGATGAGGGATTATCAGTTAGGTGGACTTAGAGTCCTGGAGGTGGGGCATACAGTGCCTACACTCTGAAGGACTGGTGGGGATTCTGCAGCTCACAGAGAGAGGGCCATGTGAATTATGATGTCTGAGCACTTCTGGCAAGACATCTATAGAATGAATGAGAGTGAATGTGATTTTTTTCCTTTCTTCACTACTTTGATGGAAAATGGCCAGTGTCATAAATAAAATGAAATAAAATGATAAGGAACAAGACACTGATTGCAGAGAAGTGTGTAGGTATTTTTCACCATAGATTAGCTTTATCAAGTGCATAAAATACAACAGAAAATTATATCTTGTATAATACATTGAAGTTGACTCTTCAGGTGCTGAGTGGGTGAGGTTTGAGAAGCAGGTATGCACTATAACAGTCCTACCAGCTCGTGCTAGCTTTGTTTCTTTTGTTCTAACATAGTGTGAGCTATGGGTATAGATAAAGTAGATGTGCTGTACCACAATTTTGTTTGTGCTAGCTTAATCGAAGAACGTACCACTATTTTGTTTCTGTCTAGTTAAGTGGAAGAGGATGCAAGGCATCTTTATTTGATCCTGTCATTTTCTTCAAGTAATAGGGTTGTCCTAATCCAGGCCATGAGATGGGAGTGGGTGTCATGATGCTGAACATAAGAATTGATTAAGTTGTAGACCCTACAGGCATCTTTATGCTTCTGCAATTTTATTGGGACACTTCTGGTAGTTTTCTCAAACAGACATGGTCACACCCTCCATTTGGTGTACTGTAAACTCCCACATCTTTCAGTTCCATGTTAGTTGTGAGTCCAATCCATAACTTGACAAGGACTCCCATGAGACATAATCATATAATGAAGCTTAAGAATTAACCAGTTTGAGCTATATATTTGTTCAATGGGTGCAATTATATTGCCTCAAGCAGTTGCAAGGTAGGTTCACTCACTACAAATACTTTTTTCTAACACATTGGCTGTCATTGGCCAAGACAATGTGACTTGAAAAAGAAGAAACTCTTTCACCCTCGTTCAATCACTTGTCTTTTCAGAAACATTCTAACATCACAACTCAGATGACCCTCTGAACTGCAACATCCCCACCCCATGCTATATATTTTGTGTGGGAAATTATATTTTAGATCAAGGCATTATTCTTTGATGACCTACATAATATTCATTAACCCTTTCTTTTCTTATGTAGTCCTGCTATTGATGCCAGTGTTACTCATGTAGATCTACATTTTAAGCATTCTTAAATATGCTGTGACTGATAATTTAGGCCTAGACAAGAGAGAGTGGATTTGTGCAGTATGTGCACAGTATAAAAAAGAATCCTGCCTCATGCAGTACATGATGGGAAAAGAGCAAACTTGTGACCTTGTGTTTTGATTAAAATAGTGAATTTGAGGTGTTTTCTAGGATGATTTTTATAATTTTATTGACTGTTTCTTGGTAACAATTTGCCATTCACAGCTTATCTGGGGAAGCTGAGCCCGCAACATAGATCTGCGTAAGTGATCCTGGCATCAGTAATGTTGATCTACGGATGAGAGTGAAAGGGTTAAGTGGGAATTTGTTGTATTTTATGTAAAATTAGCCAAATTACCACTGCACTTTATAGGATAGTTCTGATAGTTGAATGAGCAGTTTCTTGACCTAAGTCAATAGAATGGAAGGCATGCTAGCAAAATACAGTAGCTAGGAATTTGGTTGAACTGAGATGCAGAATGTACTTAAAAATAGGACTCAATGTAGGCAAAATCGTCAGTGTCTAAATTGCACCCGGACCACCAACTTTATGCCTGCCTAATTCCATAACTTTTTCATCAAGCTAAACATTTTAGGTGTCATTATCTGCAGAAAAACATTCTCAGTCATTTCAGAAGAAAAAATTATTTTATTTTTTGAAAAATTGTGAGGCTCGGCACTTTTAATTTTGGAAGTTGCGACAGTGAAAGGGATAATGTGCAAGTCCTGGAAAAGTTTACAAGTAAAGTATACAAATGCTGTTGGTATAATTTGAAATTTAGAATTCCAAGGAATAAAATGCTATTTAAGAAGATAAAAATATTTTGACAGATTTTGTCTTAAATTACCTTCCTTATTGGATAAATATTTAGTGATTAACCATTGCAGCACAGCTGCATGTCATGAATATTTTGTAATACTACATTACTTAGAAAATTTTATAGACTACCATACTTTAAATTTTGTCTTATTACAGGTTTGGATGATGAAAAAAAAGCTGAAAGTCATATGCTTTTACTTGCTGGGTATTTGAATCTTGCAATGGCATATTTGAAGCTTAAACGACAATCCTCGTGCACGAGAACATTCTACTAAGGCCCTTGAGATGGATAACAAAAATGTCAAGCTTACTTTAGAAGAGGCCAGGTATGTTCTTTTAACAAGTATACACCATCATATGACCCAGATTCTGCAACAGATGAGATTTTTCTAAAATCATTAATAAATATAAATAAAAGGGATGGAGGTATGACATAGCCTTGACAAGTGCAAACCGCTGTCAGTTAAAAAAACTGCAAATGTGTCACCACTGAAATTGGTAGAAATCTTCTTTCTTTCAACACACCGCCGTATCCCCACCGAGGCGGGGTGGCCCAAAAGAAAAAACCAAAGTTTCTCCTTTCAAATTTAGTAATATATACAGGAGAAGGGGTTACTAGCCCCTTGCTCCCGGCATTTTAGTCGCCTCTTACAACACGCATGGCCTACGGAGGAAGAATTCTGTTCCACTTCCCCATGGAGATAAGAGGAAATAAACAAGAACAAGAACTAGAAAGAAAATAGAAGAAAACCCAGAGGGGTATGTATATATACACTTGTACATGTATGTGTAGTGTGACCTGAGTGTAAGTAGAAGTAGCAAGAGGTACCTGAAATTTTGCATGTTCATGAGACAGAAAAAAGGACACCAGCAATCCTACCATCATGTAAAACAATTACAGGCTTTCGTTTTACACTCACTTGGCAGGACGGTAGTACCTCCCTGGGCGGTTGCTGTCTACCAACCTACTATTGGTAGAAATAACAGCAGGAAATACAACTAAGACTGAGCCTGCAAAAGAAGGAAGAAAGTTCACATACTAAAACTGTCAAAACCATTCAAGTACAAGAATTTTAAGAGCAACAACAACTGTGTCAATAAAGTTTAAGTGATAACAGAATTAAATAAGACTGTCATAATAAATATAATTAGACAAGTGTGCCTCAGAGTCAAACTGATGATAAGAGAGACAATTATTCAGCTCAAGATGTTTTAGAGTATGACTGTTGGGTAGTAATTCAGAAGTTTTAGAGCAATTGGGTTATGTAAGAATAGTTAGGTGATAGATGGATTGATTTGAATAGTCTTTATGAGTGCAGAGAGTCTGGTTAGCTGGACTTGAGTCCTGGAGGTGGGAAGTACAGTGCCTGTGCTCTGAAGGAGGAGTGGAGATATGTTGCAGTTTTTTAACTAATGTAGGTATGCCTCTGGCAAGAAAATAATGGAGTGAATGATGATAAAAGTATTTCTTCTTTTTCGGGTCACCCTGCCTCAGTGGGAAACAGCCAATGTGTTATAAAAAAAAACAGCATGCTTCTGAAATGAAAGAAAGTGCTAGGTGTTAAACAAAAGCAAGAGAGTACTACCAAACACAAATGCAAACACAGAAGCATCTAACCCTACCAAAGAGCAATTACCCTTAGATTTCTCCTCCGATAGGTTGGAACTGTATAAAGTACCTTTTACTCTTCAAGAACTGGAGTCCACGCTTTCCATTTGCCAATCGTCAGCACCAGGACCTGATGATATCCACATTATTGTTCTTCAACATCTCCATTCTATAGCCCTTCCCATTCTTTTACGTCTTTTCAATCTAATTTGGACACGAGGGGCTCTCCCTCAACACTGGAAATCGGCTGTTGTACTACAGTTTCGCAAACCAGGTGCCTTGGGACTTGACACCTCTCACTATTGTCCCATTGCCCTGACTAGTGTGGTCTGCAAGGTGATGGAACGATTGGTGAATAGACATCTGATGTGGTTCTTAGAGAGACACAATAGCCTTTCCCTCACCAATATGGCTTTCACAAAGGCCGCTCTGCTGTAGACCCCATGCTCCATTTAGATATGTATATTCAAAATGCCTTTGCTAACAACCACTCTGTCCTAGTTGACTTTTTTGATCTAGAGAAGGCATATGACACCACTTTGAGATATAACATCGTAGCCCAAGCCCACTCCTTAGGCCTCTGTGGTAATCTACCAAACTTCATCTTTGCTTTCTTTTCCGATAGACATTTTCAGGTCCGTATTGGCGCCTGACTTTCCTTGGACTTTGGGCAAGCCGAGGGAGTTCTACAAAGTTGTGTCCCTCAGCACTACTGTTTTTCTCTAAGCTATAAATGACCTCCCTTCCGTTCTTCCTTCACATATTTGGTCGTAACTTTATGTTAATGACTTCGCTGTAGCTTACTCAGGCACTGACTGTTGATTAGTAGCAGCTTCTCTTCAGTTGTGATAGACCGAGTCTCCTATTGGACCACTTCTCACGGCTTTAAATTTTCTAGTACGAAAACCCGGTTCATTACCTTCACTAGACATCCTCTTATTCCAGATACTCCCTTGTACTTACACGGTTCACATATTCCGGCATGTGATATGGTCATGTTTCTGGACCTGCTCTTTGATCGCCAGTTTAAAGACAACTTGCCATGGTCGGTTAAATCTCCTTAAAGTTCTCGCTCATCATTCATGGGGAGCAGATCGTCGCACTCTCCTCCGTTTGCATTCCACCCTAGTCTTGTCCAGGCTGGATTATGGTGACCAAACCTATTCTGCAGCCTCTCCCACAACTTTTATCTAAGTTAGATCCCATTCATCATCAAGGCCTCTGTCTGTGCCTTGGTGCCTTTCATTCATCCCCTGTTGAGAGCTTCTATGCAGAAGCGAATATTCCCTCCTTGTCTGGTCACCGTGATGCTCATTGCCTTCGCTATTACGTTCGATCTCATGACTTCCAAAATCCTTCCGTATATAGGATGATCACTGATGTTAGTAGACGTTCTTTATTTGTTCATCGCCCCTGCTTATTCTGCCCCTTTTCTCTCCGCCTCCATTTGCTCATCTTCTCTTCAGTTACCACCTTTCTATGTTCATGTAGCATCTCACATTTCCCTGCCCCCCTTGGGAAGTTCTAGCTGTTTGAGCCTGTTCTTTCCCACTGCCATGCGCGAAAGCCCAACTCTCTACGTTGGCTTCCCGCTCTCTTTTTCTTGACCACTTCCGCTCTCATTCTCGTGCCACCACAGTGTACGCCGATGGTTCTAAGTCTTCTGACGGTGTCGGATTCGCAGCAGTGTTTCCGGACAGTGTCGTGTGAGGACATTTATTATCCTCGGCTAACATTTTTACAGCTGAATTGTATGCCATTCTTGTAACACTTATCCATATAGCATCTATGCCTGTGTCACCATTTGTGGTCCTTTCAGACTCCCTTAGTGCTTTACAGGCTATATGAAAATTTGATACACCTCACCCCCTAGTTCTTATCCAACTTTGGCTACACCATATCTCTAGCAAACACAAGGATATTGTTTCTTGCTGGTTCCCTGGTCATGTTGACATACAGAGCAATGAACAAGCAGACACTGCTGTGCGGTCAGCAGTACATGACCTCCCAGTTTCATATAGAGGTGTTCCATTCACAGACTATTTTGCTGAAATTGTTACCCACCTTCGACCCGTTGGCAGCAATGTTGGTCTGATCTGCTCCATAACAAACTTCGTTCTGTTAAACCGAGTATAGGTTTTTGGCTGTCTTCTTGGCGTCAGTGTCAGGGTTGGGAGACTACTCTCTCTTGTCTTCGCATCGGCCACACTTGTCTTACTCATGGGTATCTCATAGAGAGGCACCTGTTCCTCTCTGTGAGAATTGTCCCCGT